CTTAGGTTGGAGGCCATCGCTCTTAGGTTGGAGGCCATCGCTCTTAGTAAAACTTAACTTGTCAACTTGGCAGCATTGAGCAGGCGAGGAATCGGTACTGGAAGCAGCACTTGCCCAAGCTGCACAATGCAGAAGCGCTAACTCCACCCACTTGGCAGAGGAAGGGCACCTTGAATAAGTTTTGTTGACAGCTGCCTATCAGTTGCAAACAGCTTTTATTTATCAAGAGAAGGTTTCTGAGAGCTGCCCGTCCAATCTTCCAAGGTCTACCAGAATCAGTCGTTGGAACCAAAACATATTCAAGAGGTGCTGACAAGCACCAGCTATGATTCTGGGGTCACATTTTGGAGCAGCAATTTTCCGAACCAGTATGAAGGGAAGGCGCAAGGGGTTCTTGTGCTGCCTGAATTGATACCAAGGAGTAGCTGCGTGTTGGCGCTGGCGAAGCCTTTCTTCAATGCTGACCGGGAGCGTAGGCGTCTCTTCAAGGTAAAAACAACTCTTCTCAGTCCGGGCACCAAAGAACCTCGAAAGGGTATCAAGCTCCGTGGGATCAACGAGGCCTGAGATCGTTGCAAATCAGGTTTCTTCATGTTTCCAGCTTCCCTCCTCAAAGAGGGGTGGACACTTCCCAACCCTTTTACTTGACTGCACAGGCCCAAACGAATAGAGGGCGTTTGACTTTTTTTTGATACCAAACCAGATAGAACCTTTGGTGGCTGTAGCTTGGCTTACTGGGGACTGGGTAAGTATGATACTTGGAAATGAATATGGTAAAGCACATGGTGCAGATGTTCATGATCCAACAGAGTTTGGCATTTGGGACAAGCCAACCCAGCATAGAGCTTCCCTGAGTCAGGGTCGCTTCTTGCACTATCGGCGACTTTTCCTTGTTGAGCCAACCCCTGATGATGGTTGGCCCAGACCAGATGGATGTGCCAAGATGGTGCCTGATGAGTCTCAGTGCTTCCGAATTGAAACAACACCTGAGCATTCCAAAGTTTTGCTGGAGTTTGCAGCATGCTCCATGCTACATGATCCTCAAATGATTCATAACTTCCTGATGGAGTACCCGTTTTGTGTGGAAGGCCTTCTGGTCTATTCTGAAATCGCCCGGCAGAGTGGAGAGCACCAACAGGCTTTTCAAATTCTGCGCCGTGCAGTCTATGCCACAGAGTGCGGTTTCGATGGTGCTTTTTCTCCTTTTCAGGAGACGCAGGCGCCAAGGTTCAAGTCCTGACGTGTACCTGGAAGTACCGTGGTACTTCTCTAGGTAATCATCGGTTTTAAACAGAGCTGTCGTTCAGCCCCTGTTTGGCTGTTCAAGTGAAATGGATTTGCATTTTGCTTGGCTGCAAGGTGCCGATGCTGAGAGGAGAAGCTTGCTGCTCCATCAGCTGGCCGCGGGTTCGTGTGCAGTTGGCTGAAGATCCTTCATGGCCAGGATGGTCTTGGTTCACTACTTTGTGGGGATACATGTTGGCACTGGCATCCCAAGGCCTGCCACGCACTGCTTTTGAAGTCTGCAAGTTGATCCTAGCAATGACACTGCCGAATGATCCGACGCACTCCCTCGTTCACTTGGACTACTTTGCCTTGCGAGCAGAAGAGTACGATGTCTTGCTGGAAATCTCAGAGAAGCTCAATCCACCTTGTCCATTGCCCAATAACACCATTGTGCGGCTGGACTTTTGCTTGCCAAACTTTGCCTACTCGGCAGCTTTGGCTCATTACCTTCGTAGGTCCATCAAGGATGAAGATGAAGCCGCCGCGTTGAGCACCATCAGTGTGCAGGACTTAACGACTCCGCCGCAGAAGATGTTGCTACAGCCAACTGAAGATGGCCCATCTCCGCCACACCTGGCCTTGATGCGAGCGATGCTGCTTTTCCCACGGACGTTGCGCTCAATTTTAGAAACCCTAGGCATTTCGCTGAATGCCTCAGCTTCCGGATCACCTTGCAAGCTGTCGTGGTCTGAGCTTCTGGACAGGAGCCCTTTGAAGGGAGAAACACATATTTTACACCAGCAGCACTTCCTGGCGCATGCATTAGTCTCCGACGCCTTTGTACAGCGATGTGCTACATTTTTCCGGAGTGAGAAGATGCTGAGGTGGCTACATGCTTGCACTGGTCGCCTCGTGCAGATGTGTGAGTCCTCCCTTTTTGAGCAAGAGCTCATGGCCGTCCGACGATCCTGGAGTGAGGCACCGCTGGCAATTGCCAGTGCAATGGCCAACGACTACAAAGACTTTAGCGCTGCAGAAGTTGGAGCAGAGAGGAAAGCACCTAGAGTCCTTGAGGAAGCTATCAATAGCTTGATGGGCAGTGGGCCTGTTGTTGTACAGGAGCCTGAGGACTTGTTTTCGAAAGTTATTTCGCTCTCTACTGACACCGGCCCATAAAGCAACTTTGTGCAATAGCGAAGCAAAGAGTATGATCCAATTCCCTGCCCTTCGAATGTATTTCTTCCATTTTCTTCCGATTTGACCCTGCCAGGATGAGGAAGCACAGCTTCAACGGGCTCTCCGGGCCTCTCAAGCCGCTGAGGATGCACAGGAGCGTCGCCGCCTGATTGAGGAGCAAGACGAGGAGTTCCGCCAGAGCCTTGCAACAGATGCCGCAAAGCACCGTATCGATGATGCATTGGCGCGGCTTGGATTCGAAGTGTCTTGTTTTCGAACAAAGAACGACAAAGGGAGACAGACTTTGATATGTAGCAAGGTGTAGGTTTCGCCAGAGACAGGGACTGGCTTGAACAGAAGAAAAGCGCAGAACTGTGGCACTTCCTGACTGATCCAGGTTGCAGGCATGTATGTAAGTATGAGACAAACACCTGAACCGAGACACAAAGTGGCGACAAACGTCCGATTTCCAAGTAACTCAATGGACCAAAAGGATTTGCGCTGCTCAAGTGGACAGCTTGTAGCTTTATTCAAGTGGACAGCTTGTAATCTTATTCACATATTTGCACTTCAAGATATTGTCTTCACTATATGTCGTCGACTCTTGGATTGGTTCTTTCTGTTTGTAATCCTTTCACCAGCCTAGGCAGCTGGAAGCCATGGGCTTCGACAAAGCTGCGGCCGAAGAGGCTTTGCACGAAACTGGTGATCTTGAAGCTGCCATAGAGCTCTTGGCGTGAAAAATAGACGGCTTTGAAGATGCACAACCTGGTGCTTGGCAGTTGTACATGCTCTCGAATATTTGGTTCTTATGGCCGTATGACCTTATCACAGAACGCTTGCTCTCGAGACAGTACCAAATCTAAGTATATATATGTATAAATCCCACAAGTTCCTCGCTTCGTCCACTCTCTGCAAGCTTTAATTCGTGGGAGCTTCTAGCAAACTCGCTCCAGGACGGGGTAGAGCCAGATGTGCTCCAGTGACAAATCTCACATTGAGGGACAAAGCATCTGCGGGGGCCTGTAGCTGCAGGGCTTCTTGGCAAAGATTGGCACACAGCATTCAGAAAGGCATTACAAAATGAAACGTGGTGGGACAAATCCGGGCCTTGTTGGAGAGCTGAGGTTGAGTCAGCTGCAATATTTTGTTGAAATGCTATCGCTGGCAGACCAAAAATGCGTGAAGGGCAGATGAGCATGCTTCAAGCTGTCATTGAGCTATCTATGTATAGAATGGGTGATATGGTTATGACAGTATGACTATAGGCTGATCTCCCAAACTCGGGTCTATGGAAAGTGTGAAGTGATGCAGCAAGACCTAGCGGCCAACATCTAGCCCAAGCCGTCCATCAATTTGTCGACCAGTTCATACCATTTGCTTTGATGGCCATGGCCATCACCAAGGCAACGGACGGAAGGTGCAGGCGGCAGGTGGGTCTGAGTTGTGTTTTTTTGTCTTGCTTTTTGTGGCACAACTGCACAACTGTCAAACGCAGTGAAAGCCAGAGCTGTACAGAGAAGCATCCAGAAAATCAGGTACCGCAAACAGCTTTAGATTTGGCCTGGCTCGGCTAGAAGCACCCGCACTCACCCCCATGCTCACAACTTGGCCAGGAACATGTCAGGGCAGAAGATTCAGAGATCATTATATACCTGTCCCTCGTTGCCACAGTCCTGCAAAGGGCGTCCGACACAAAAAAACACACACAGACGCACACACACACAGGGGAAAGGTTGAATTGCTTCAATTCTAATAGCTTTTTGTTACTACTAGTAAGGCACCTGTTGCTACTAGCGATGCACTTGTTCCTAGTAGCTTCTTGTTACTACTAGTAAGGCACCTGTTACTACTAGCGAGGCACTTGTTACTACTAGTAATATCTCAGCTCAGATTGCATGTGTGCCATGGCGCAGTCTGAAGGTGTCCATGTTCCGGTGCCCTGCAAGCTTGCAATGTACTGTGAAGCAAGGCTCACTAGTGACTAGAGTGACTTGTGTTGGGCTCTGAGATGTATACTGTCGCGTGATGTGCTCGCTGCATTTGCCCTCAAAGTGTGGTTGTTGCAACCCACGGTGTGCACCCACTTCATGGAGAGCTTGATCCTCAGTTCTTGCACGTCATTTGCCAAACCCTGAAAAGCTTGAGAACTTGCCTTGACATCATACCAACAAGAAGCTAACATGGGCATTGCGGCATCGCTACTAGTAACAAGGGCATTACTACTAGGAGCAAATAGCTACTAGTAGCTATTTGCCGCTGTATACAAGGGAAGTACCAAGGCACACATTGAGTTTGAGGCCTTCATTCTGAAGGCGAGCGGGAGGGACAGAAGTGCCACATAGACAACATTGTCCACCCACATCACTAGCCTTGGAGAGGCACTTGTCACCGGTATAGACCCAAGTTCCCCACCCTAACCCCGTGACAGGATGCAACAGGTTGATGGTGCAAGCGTCCTTGCTCCTAGTAGCGAGGCCAGGAGCCCCTAGTAGCGTCCTTTCTCCTAGTAGTAAGGCCAGGAGCCCCTAGTTCCTTGCTAGTAAGGCCAGGAGCCCCTAAGGCTTCTTGCTAGCTTCTCTTTATCCCTTCCTCTACGACACTATGACACAGATCCACCATCGCTCGTTCTCGCCAGACCATGAGACAAGTGGAATTGGTGCAGGTGTTTTCCACTACCATCTCTCCAACTACCCCTTTCCACTAAAAGGCTTAGACCTTGACCTAATACTATACTGCGCCCACCAACGATAAAGCATTTTCGTTCGCATGCTGCATCGACAAAACTATCTTGCTAGTTAAGGGCCGGGGCGGGCCGGAGCGGGCCGGGGCTGTTCATCAGCGCTGGAGGGGTCCTCCAATGAGCTGGCGGGCAGAGTCCACGCCCGTTGCCCGGGCAAATGCACAACTGCGGATTGAATAGTGTCCATGGGTAAGCTTTCTGTGTGGAAGCTGAGGTACCAGAGGCAATCTGCATTTGCTGAAGATGAAAAGGAATATTTGAAATTGGCAACTTGGCTCAGTTGAGAGAAGCCCGAGCTCGCACACGCACACTGACGGTGAGTAGGAGTCAGCAACACCTGAGTCAGCAACCGCAAGTTATACACCACGGCAAGCGATTTGCCAACCAAACTGCATCAGCAACTTCTGGAGTTGGTACTTGTAGGAACATGACTAATCACAAGTGTGTGTGTATATATATATATATACATCTACTGCACATAATAATTACATGCATAACATGATGTTATATGCATGTGGGCCCAGTTGGGCGGGTGGGTTGCCGGCGACCTTTTGTTTTTTTGCCGCGAAGATGATGTCTTCGGTGAGACTAGTGACACAAACTGCAATGGGCCAGGGGGTTGTGTTGTAACTTTGGATGCTTGGACACATACTCATTCTTTATGATTGCCCACTCTCTGGCGGGTTAGTAGGTCTTCATCGTAGCAGTTTGGAGTTTCAACCTTCAGATCTTTGGCATTCTGAGGCGAAGAAACTGCGAGAGATCCTCAAATTGGAGGCGCACAGATTGGTATCACTAGCTGCGAGCTCCCCGTGAGCCCATGCGTACTGTTTATCAAAATAAAGTTCAGCAGGAGAAAGTGAAAGGTGGTGAAAGCCTGGCACAGAAGCTCGTCAGCAAGCACACCAGCAAGCAGATCAGCTGGAAGCGGTGGATACAGTTTCAATCTGCGGGCTTGCAGGAATCAGCAGGACAAGGTTGACTCCAAGGATTCTCTCCTGCAGGAGGCCGGGACAACGACCGTCGGTCTGTCACTGTTTTCAACGGGCTGCTATTGCCAATTGCAGGTGACAAAGTTGGCAGGAAAGCTTCCGGGTGATTCCGATGTCCTTGAAAAGACTCAGGTCCGGAATCTGGCCTAGCAGTTATGGCCTACCTCCAAAAACACAGCAGAACGCTTTGTGTTTTTTAGTTTTGTTGAAGCGCTTTGACAGGACATTACAGCGCTCCTTCCGGCTAAGACTGTGAAAGGAATCGAGCAGAGGAGGCAACAGGCCTGAAAAGTTCGAAAGTCCGGGTGATGTGCTTTCGGAAGGCTTTTATACGCTCGAAAGCTTTCTTGAAGCCTTTCAGATCTGACAGCTTTTCTGTCTCAATGCACGAAAGCATTGTGGAGGAGCAAGAGCGAAGACAAAACCGGGAGAAGAAGCAGGACTGCCTGGGAGATTTGCAAAGACAAGCAGTACATGTCCGAAGTTGTTGGAACATTTCGTTGATCATTGTGATCTCCAAGGAGGAAGAACGTCGAGCTCCAGTTTTCATGTGTCGCCATGTAGCAGCCCAAGCTGCCTTTCCATTCTACCATTGTAGAGTGTCCGGAGATTTTTTTTCCTTTTAGACTTTGAGGATAGGCCAATCCTTAGCGTTTGCGTATCAGCAGACAGTAGGCCCGGTGCTGAGAGGGAGGGGATATGGAATGAATCTTCTCGACAATCACTCACAGTTGGCATTTGAGCAATTCCCAAAGGACAGCGGTCTGCATCTCCAAAATAGTGGAATTGAGGTATCTCTTCACCTGCTCAAAGGTCATTGAACTTGGTGCACACATGAAATTCAGTTCTGTGACAAAAATGTGCCAAGGATGGCAATTTAATTTGCTGGTCGCTGGAAGAGAAGTTATTGAAGGCTCTGTACACCTTCGCAGGCATCGCCAGCGCAGTTCCTAGCCTACGTTTGTTGTTTTTCTTGTCAATGTGACAGGGCACACTGGTGCTGTGTTCACACTGGACGTCACTTCGGCCGGGCTCCAATTGCACTCATCTCGGCTTGACTTGAGGGATTCAAGTTGGGCCAGCTACCAGGCTCCACCTTTGCTGATCAGTGGCTCTGCTGATGGCCAGGTGAAATTTTGGGAGGCCGAGCCAAGGTTTATGGTTTATGATGCAAAAAGCGGTGCCAATATTTTAACCTGTGAACATTGTTCGTTTTTGATTGTTTGTGGGTGTTCCGGAAACAGTGTTGACAACACCGTGTTTGTTGTTGTTGTTGTTCTTCTTTTTTGTATTCTACACAATCACTGGATTCAAAGTCCCTGGTGGTGCTGTGGGCAGGGAGACCCTACACGTTTGACACCGCTGACTGTAACCTCACCCAAGAATACCTTGGAGCATGGAGGTCGTGTGAGGCGAGAGCAAAGCCCTGGCAAAGCCTTTTTGAGATGTGTTGGGGGATTGATATGAGCAAAATGCAAAGCCTTGGATTAGTGCCAATGCAACACTTTGCATTTTCGGAGGGTGCTGAGATGGTGCCCTTTTGATGAGGCAGGGGTTCACAGCGAATCACCAATCTCCTCACTTTGTGTCTAGTTGTGGGTCGGCAGGGCTCCTCTGGACGGCGCTTCGCTAGCGCATCTGAAAAGCTGGGGTTGGGAACTTTGTTGCGTTGTTGGGAACTTTGATTCAGACCTTGTAGCAAGTCTTTGCAAGGCAAGTCTTAGAGCAAGCGAAGTTAGCGAAGTTTAGTTGTGACACGACAGTGCACATTATCCCTTCAGATGTGTGAGGTCCAAGCCTGCAGTCATTGCGGTTTGGCATGCCAGCCCAGCTGGAGAGACCAAGCAGTTGCTTGAGATCAAGGCCGAAACTATATATATATATAAGATGTCGTTGATGTGATTCTATGGGTACACAATGCATGTGTCGTACGCCGGCACATGTATAGTACTGTCCAAAGTGGCATTCATTTGCACTACGCTTGTTGACGGACTGTATGCGTCTA